TGCAGCTTGCCAAACGGAGGCCCCGAGGACCCGTCAAATTTCAGGCAATATTGTCGATTGTTCCGACGTGTTTCGACGACAATAACCTGCTCGAGACGACAATAACGCGCTCCCGGGGGCAAAGGACCTCCGATCGAGCATGCAGCGCGACGTGTCCGGCCCTAATTCCACTGTTTGCGTATGCAAACGAAGAGACGAGGTCACCGACGGGGTGCCGGGATATTCATGCGCATTTCCATCCTCTTCGTTTTGTCGTGCCAGCCGTGTACAATAAACGTATATGTGCATGCGCGCCGCGCCGAACGATCAAGCGAGCAATCGCGGCAGCTCGATAAGGGCGCCGTGTATTCGCGACAAAAATCATCGCAAATACAATTTCAAATAAAATTAATGCGCGCGCGAGATACAACTCACAACAGGTGCGTGTAAATTAATTCGACTTGATTGCGCTGCACACGCGGCATCCAAATTCTTAACCATGAATAATAGACAAATTAACGGACGGAAACGAAGAGAGGGATGGTGGGGAAAGGGAGGCGATAAATAAAGCGCTATAAAGGGAATGAGGATGCGGGGAGTTTTGAAAATTAAGCGAATTTATTACGACGTCGCATATACCGCCGCTCTCGTTGTTAATCAATTAGCCGATATCTCGCCCGGCGCGAAATAAATATCAGGCGAGTAACGTTTATTAATAAACGCGCGCGGCGGCGGCGGCGGCGGCAGCGACGCGGGTGGTCCGCGAAATTCGCCGTACGTATACCTCTGCGTCGCGAATGGAAATTAATTCGCCGCTCCCCGCAACAATCAAATCGTTCCGAATTTGATGCACGCGTTAGCCGCTCCGTGCTTTCGCTCGCTCGCCCGCCCGCTCCCTCGCTCTCACTCTCTCTCTCTCTTTCTCTCTCTCGTGTGCGCACGCGATGCGTGCGTCTGACAGGTGGGCGGACGCGGCGGGGAGCGCGGGGCGCAAGTGGAAATAATACGAATGACGTCAGAGCGCCTCTGGGAGTTCGAGCGGGGCCCGGGATCCCGGGGTATACGCGGGATCAGCCGACCTGGACGCGATTAACGCAAAGAAAAATGTTTCCCCGCGAAGCTGAGCGGGAAGCGAGCGATCATGCACGCGGCGAGTCGCAATGCGATGCGATGCGATGCGATGCAATACGACTCGGGCTGTAGGCTCGGCTTGGTCAAGGCCTAGCGGTATTCGAAGCGACGCTTTGTGAAATGACGCGCCCTTTAGGCGAGGAAAGAGGCACCGGCATCGCCGGTACATGAAAAGTCCTTCCGGTCGAATGGTCGCGAAATTGATCAAAGTGACGCGCGGTAATTCGATCCTCAGCGTAATCTTCGCTAAACATCAAGCGAAGAACCCCGCGGGCCTGTCCGCGAGGGTTGCTGTTTCAAAAGCGACGACGAGAATACGCAACGGAGCTTTAACATCGCGACACAATGACGCCGAGAATCGTATAACAAACCTGAAACAGATCTGACAAGATGGAGCGAAATGTTTACTGCACGAAAAGGTTAAAGGCAGTCCATGAAGATGATAATATGCCACTTAATACACACGAAAGGAATATTATAATTGCGGGATATATTTAGAATTTATTCCTTATAGGGTTTGTACTATCGAAAAAGAAAATCTGATAGTAATGTAATATAGCTATCGAATGTATTTTGTTTAACATATTGGGGCAATATTTAGTAAATATTAACAAACATAATAATAGTAACGAACTGTTTGGTAATAATTACTAAATATTATTATTTAGAAAAGTAAAATTGGCGTTCAGTGCGTTTTGGTTATATTAACTGAATATCCGATTGAAATTATTTCGCCAAAGCTTTAGTAATCATCCAGGCTTGATTATTATACACATTACCAGACTTTCTTTTTCCCAGTGTATCCTCTGACAGTTATGATAAATACCGCTATATCGCTCTCCAAAAGCGAGACCGATGTTAATAAAATATAAATATTAATCAGATAAAAAGATTAAGATGTGAAGGTTTAACGGGAGTATAAGAATCTTCGCCGGTGGTTAGCCGCGAGAACACGAGGGGATCGGGAAGGGGTGGGGGGGAGGGGAGAGGGATCCTCGTACCGACGGGCATTGTGTATTAAAATTAGGGGAATACATTAAGCGAGTTAATGTTATTCAGCTTTTTGTTCGCGGCGCTTCTATAGAAGCCGGTTTTCTTTTGCCGGCAGCCCGAAAACGCCCTCTTCTTTTCTCTCCCCTTCCCCCTCTCCCCGCCCCCTCGCCGACATGAATCCGCGCGTTGCATACTTCCCGCGACGAGCCGACAAACTTCCCCGCATTGAACTCTTAAAAAAAACCTTATATACACCGTGTCGCCGAACTATCTCCACTTTTCTCAACTGCCGGAGGACGAGTTCACGAAGGATATTTTCAATATCGAACTTCAGGATACTCCCTACGCAAGCCGTATACACACGGCTCGCCTCTCGAACATGAAGTCGACCCCATTCTCGCGAGAGATGATCGTAACGGGCGAGTCGGGCAAAAAGTACAAGTAATAATGTAAATATTTGATTAATTTCGAGCGCGAGATTTTTTACTTCCTATACGATAATGGAAATAGCGTTTATGGCAACGGACTCATATACGTGAGCGGTAACTTTATATTCCACACGGTTATTTTTACGCTGGAAATAGTTTAATTAAAGTTAAAAGAGTATAGCCACACCGGGGAAATACGATACCGCGGAAAACACAATGGGCTGCTCGGCGGCGGTAGTGAAAAGAATCGGGAATAACGCAAAGGGAGGAGATAAAGTATCCCCGGATCCTCCTCTCAATCGCCAACTATATACCTGTCGTTGAAAGCACGCCTCGCCGATCTCGTTTGAGAGGTTCCCCGCGCGCTGCTGCACACGTAAAGAGGAAGGTAACAGAACGCATCTTTTCGCGACGACGAAGAAGATAAGTTGCGCGAGTTATCTGATGTAATAAGATCTCACCTCTCTCTGCACCGACTCTCCCGCGCATTTCAGACGGACCCTTATTTTTCGTCCCCTTACACAACACAGGTAACACAGGAACTCCCGGGGGTCACCTCGTACATACATGTGTACCGCGCTACGATCTCATTCAATTATTCCGCTCATCGATCCTATCCTCGGATCGGAAGAGAGACTCTCGCGAACGTGCAAGAACGCGAGGCCACAGGTGTATTCGCGAGTAAATTCGCGCTCGCGCCGGGAGTTTTCGCGATTGACGAACTAATAACGTTTGTATTGAGTCGAAACGGTGAATTGTAAAACGCAACAGCGCGAATTCGCTAAGCATCGACGATGGGATGCGGTTGCGGCTGTAAACAACGCGCACTCACTAAATTTTTTTGGAGTAAATCTCACTCCAAAAAAGATTGAAAATACTGCCACTCGGCCACTTGAGTGGCAGTATCTTCATTCTTTTGGAGTGAGATTCATTTCAGAAAATTTAAAGAGCAAGGAAGTGGGCAATGAAATTCTGGAAAATTTGCAGTCGCGCGTGTTTAACAACGCATATGCACGCGTGCGCGCATGACAACCGGTGAAATCCACCGCGCGCGGCCGATTATTATCTCGCTTTTTCACCGCTTAGTATATCGGAAATGTGACGGGGAAATTGATCATTTCTCTTGCACACGGGAAATCCAATCTCTATATATGATCTTTCACTCCGATGAAATTGCAAATGTGTCACAATATGCGATTTTATGTTTAAAAAGAGAGAAAATCCTATTATTCTATAAAAAAATATTAATGCAAGAAGATAATAATATTAATATCTTCCACATAAGGCAGAATTTACTACAGTTTAATAATAATGTAACGTATAGTTTTACACTCCAGACTAAAAGTTCGGAAACACCGATAAAAACACAGATAAACTATATTTTGGTTTTGCAATACTTATTATTGAATCTGAAGAGTTATTGTTAAAAAAATATATTGTTGGATATTTGAATAAGTAATCCCAAAATGTTAATTTTTAAAAAAGTTTTCAAACTTTTGGTCTGTATTTAATATTACATCTCATTTTCTTCCCTAGAACTGTTATTCTTCTCTAGAATAGATTTATTTATACTTATTTTATCTTAGTCTAACTTTATCTTGAGATTGCATAGATTTACTTTGTCTTAATTTTAATTAACTTCTTTATCGTATTTTAACATGTTTTGAGTCGCATCCCTCACACTTGCGCGCCGCTATGAATGCAACTATTAGCTTTCACGCAAAGTTGATGTAAGTAGCATAATGGAATGTTGATGGCTGTTGTTGCTTGTTTATTTCAGAGCGTGGAAGATCGCCGAGAGTAAATTAGACGCGCCGGCGCGAGCCGCCAACCCGCCCCCGGTTAGCCGATACACCGCGTTCTATACTCCCCTTCTGTACGTTGGAAGTATTTCGGACGGAATTTTAATTAATATCTCGCGGCTTGTATAGGGTGCCTCGCGCGCGCAAGAGCGCAGCGTGAAGCTGTAAAAGCCGAGGGATGAAAGACGATACCCGATGTGCTTCCGAAGACCCCGCCAGGCAGAGAGAGGGGATGCTTTTATATCGGCAGTAAAACGTCCCAATTGCTCCGAGGTAAAACTATGGAGAAGCGAGAACCGGCGGGAACACGGTCCCTTTTCGGATAAAAATGTTTACAATCATCGCTAAAATCGCCCGCGGCGATTTTATAGTCGACCTGTCAAAAAACTATATCGGTAGAAAATATCAATTTGAGAGCGATCGATGATGCAGCTTGTACGCTAACCTCAAAATTATCTTTCGCTGCGATTTGTATATTTTCGTTATTATTACGTGCTGCTTATTTGCGTTTAAATAGTACGTTTATTAAATACGCTTATGTAAATACCAGGGCGACCAGGGGCGTAGCTAGAAATTGCGTAATTGGCTCTTGGTGGTACTTTTGTTATTGTCGCGCAACTCGATTCTTCGTCGAGAGGGTTTGCCTCCGGAGGATAAATCGACTCACCTTTATTCCAAGAGTAGGCGTCAGCATCCCGTAGTCCGTAATGGGTGGCAGCATAACAGGGGGTAGGTTTGTCATCATCATAATGTCTAAATTCTTCACACGTATTTTCCGTCGGTGTATCGAACACAGATCAATTTCTATTGCCTATTAGACCTACCTGAAACACACAAAAAAAAAGAAAAACGTTATGTAAATGTTAAAGAATGCTTGGAAACTTAAATTTTAAAAAATGCTTCGAAACTGATCTCTCTTTCAATCTAATGACCAAGAGAAAAACGTTACAAAGAGCTGCTAAAGATATCGAATACTGCAGAATTGTAAAGTAAGAAATTAACTTAATTAACTGATATCTCGAAGCTAACTTGACAAATTAAAGCCAAGAAATCAAAACATTTAATTTACCCTGGGTAAAATCCCATTCGCTAGTGATACCGCAGAATTCGTTTAAAATAACAGCTGTTAAAGTTTTACACACGCGGACAATATTCGCCGCGACCGCATCGACTGACAGACTTGTCGCTTTGTCGCTAAATCACCGAAACGCCAATCGATTGTGGTAGTACAAAGCGGCTGAAGTGATGGAAGCTTCCGTACAAAGGGCCGGAATAGTTTCGTATCCCAACTTTTCCATAAACCGGTAACGCACTGTTGACATTTCCGAGTTTAGTCCCAAAACTCGCGGCGAAGCCCGAGAATTCGGTTAAAATTTTGTCGCGAAAGCGCTCGCCCTCGCCACGCCCGCCGTCGCCGGTCATAGTTGCATAGTTGCACCTCAATTATACAAACCACCCAATTACAAAATTAATCCATTAAGCTCGACGGTATCACCGAGGTGCACCTGAGTTCGGACGTACAGATCGGATCGCACGAAAGTCGAAGATCGCGCGATTACGATTGCATTAGTTTGATAAAGCCGCGGTTGAGACCGCGTCTCAGAATTCGGGCTTGATTAAAGGTCCATCTGCAATGAGAGTAGTAAGCTGTAAGAAATTGAGCTGTAAGAATTATAGTCAAATATAAGAAGAATAATCGATTATGATTAATCAATTTCTTACGGCTTACGACTTATTACTCTCATTATAGATGGACCTTGCCTTTATCTCAAGGCAATTACATACAAAATTTCGTAAGGTGGTGAGAAGTAAGCGATAAGAAAATCGACCAATCCCAATTAAATATTAGGTTGTCCATAGCCTCAAATACTCAATTGAGATTGGTCGATTTCCTTACGCTTACGTCTTACGATCTTATATGCGATTTTAGGTGTGATGGCCTTTATCTCGATATCGAAGATCCGCGAGAGAGCGATTAAATAATAGCACCCTCGAAATAATATGACGATAATCTATAACAAGATTCTTAAATCCCTTATACGAGTCTTTATAACTCATAGCAATGTTAACCAACAGAAAAAGGACATTAACCTGACTAACCTCAAAATCTATACACATAATATCCAAATTGTCAAAAAAAAAGGTTTATATTTCATATCAATAATCATTACACCTTATAATAATGTTTTTACTTTGATGAAAAATCCAAAAGCGAAAATTTCATAATCGAAATAAGTTTTTTTTTTTAAATACAAATCAATATTAGTATCTAAAAACTTTTTATCCCAAGCAGCTGCTATTCTCTGTCTTCTCTGATCAAAATTTTCTCATCCTTTCTACATCTGCAAGATTGAAGATACGCATGTACATTCACAAGTCAATAGCTGGCGTCGCGCGTGTGTCGCGCGTGTCCACTGCATCCTGTCGAATATGGGACTTCCGTAGCCCACGTTTTGCCACGTTCGCGCGTCGTACGCTCGGAATGGTAACCCCCGTCGAGAATCCGTGACGGAATCGTTTCGGCGGGATCTTCGATCCCGGGGTGCGAGGTAGTCACGTATCGCGTCGGCTCTGAGCCGGTCTAAGTGCTCTTCAATTACGCGGCGACGCAGGCAATTATGAGCGTAATCCTTTAAGATTTACATGGCAGACACGCGCCCGCGACGCGCAGACCCGGGTTTTAGAATCGGCTGGAGAAACGTGGCTGGGGGAGGAGGGGGCGGGGGAGACACGCGGAGGAGCCACTTCCGGCGGCTACGAGGCGTACGGCGAACGCCGTGGAAACATGGCGTTCGCGGAAATAGAGATTTCGCGAGGGGTCTTACCTCGGATTTGCCGGTTAAGCCGCCTAGAATCGTGCTGTTACAACGTTTCCCGTCTCTCTCTCTCTCTTTCTCTCCCTCTCCCTCTGTCTATCTCTCTACCCTCTTCTGCACTCTATCCTCAACCTTTCTCCTTCCGTCCCTCTCGTCTCTTACTTTCAGATCGCCGAGAGCCACGTGACACCAATCTAAGTTTCGAAGTATCTTTCTCCTTCTATCTCTGTCTCTCTCTTTCGCTCGCGCTCTTTTCCACTTCATAGTATAGTACCTTGTCTTTGCACTCCACTGCTCTCGCACTGTCTCATTTTCCCACTCCGTTGACGTCAACAACAAGCGAGATTATTCGTTCGCGAAAGTTGACCGAGTTGCTAAACACGCCGGGGCGCTCTGGAGTGACCGTAAACAATGGAGTGGGAACGATTGTGTCGGCACGAGCCATTGAAATAATGACCAGTAGCCGGGCGTGTAAATTTCATATTAATTACGCGAATAAAGCGCACGATACGCTTATAATTAGATGACATTTCATTTCGTAGAGCGCGCTTTTATAAAGCCTGCCTAGTTCCACTAATTCTGAAATAATTGTACGAAGCGGCGAAATATTATTCGTGCGACAGTTCCGATAGAACGACGCGCGCGAAATCGAAGAGATCGAGTCTCATATACGAGAGACGACATACGGACGCGAACATATCGCGCGTCTCACGCGTGTCTCCCGCACGATTCTGATCTATTCGGAAACTCCTCCGAAAGAGTATTTCCAACGAGGTGGACCTGTGGTATGAAAACGAAAAATGAACGTGAGAAATTCTGACTTTTCTCTCTCGCGAAACGAACGAAGAACACGGAGAGGGAGACTCTCGCTGGATGGGTTAAAAAGCCGGGGCCGACAGTAATATCGAGGCCGCGCTTCAATAAACAAGGAAACAACGGGATGGCAAACGGGACGGTGAGGAGCGATCGGGCGTGTAATAAATTACCGCAACGGCGGGGAATATGAGGCGCCACTTTAATGCACCCGCGAGATCCCCGGCGCGGTCGCACGGCCCACCCCTTCCCCCACAGCCCTCACCCGTTTACCCGTGTATCTATTGTGCAAGCAGCCAGGTATAGGGAAATCGAAATGCGTCTGGCGGCCGTTCCTCGCCCCATTTTCCCTATCCCGCCCGCCCGCTCGTCTTCTCCATCGCTGCTTTTTTCCTCAACGGCACCCGGATATTTTATTCAACGGCACTCCGCTCGCGCGCCGTTTGATATTGCAGTCTCATTGCATAAAAATCCAAGGCCTGCATAAAACAGCCCTTCGCGCCCACCCTTCCCCCTTCCCCACGCGAGAGCCCGGACACCGCGGTACACGGCCGGAAGACCGCCGTTACGGCCGTAGAATGGGATGCTCGCGCCACGATCGAATCCCGAAGGGGATTTCCAAATGCAATTTCCGACGAAGTGCGTCAGCTCATTAATGTTCCGGAGTATAGCATATCCCCGTGCTAAAACGGTGTAAAGAATCCTCCGTCGTTTCCACCGTGTCGCGCATCTGTTTATCGTATTAAAGTGCAATTCAATTATTGCTATTCCCCCCCTCCCCCGTATAAACTGTGCATGTACATACAGCGTCAAATCACGGCAGCGCAGGCACGGTCATCGTCACGCCCCTGGTTAAGGGTTAACGCGCGTATCCGCGTACCTCTCATTGAATTTTTCCCGTGGCTTGAATACCGATGGAAATATGCGAAATATGGCGTGCCGTCCCGCGGGAGGTAAAACGAATTTTGAAAAATAGTTCGCACACGCACAAACACACGTGCGCGCGCGCACGCATGCACCGTCTGCAACGCCACGCAACAAATAAAAATACGCGAGATACTCGGCGCGTTGCGCTTGCGGACGCTTACGACGTATCGCTATAGAAATCATTTTACAATACCAGATCTCAAACATTTTTTAAATACGAAAAAATTGGCCATTTGTTGACGCGGAAAAAGTCAATGTATGTCGACTGAAAATTAAGTAACGAATTATGCTCGATATAATTTGTCTGTTTTGCACATAGTTGGAAAATATTTGTTAGAATTTAACTCATTTTACACGTCTTAAACGATCAACCTAAATTTTTATGTTAATTTAATATTTTAATAGATGAATATGTTCGAAAGTAACAAACATCAATCGTACAAAAATTAACACCAGAAAAATTTAACACTTTGAAAATGACATACTTTGAAAACAAATTGTGAAAACTTCTTTCAGTAAAATTGACTTGTAATGTTAAATTAATATTTACATCTTTTATTCATTTATCTTAAATTAAAAAAAAAACCATTACTTTTATGTTCATTTTATTCATTGTTTATTCACTTGTTCATAACTTGTGTTATTTTAATACTAAGAAATGTTAAATATCAATTTAACATAAAATATTTAAATAATATTTGTATTATGTTATCACATTATGTTAGATTCACTTACAACTTGTATTATTTTAACACTAAAAAATGTTAACATCAAAATGTTGTTGTGTTCAAATTTTCTATTGTGTAAACAAGAAACAAAAATTCAATAAAAATATATTTTAATAATATCGCCGGATCGCGATAAGCGCGACGGGAGCGCAGTAGTAAATAATACATTTCTCAACGCCCGTTGAATTAAATATTTTTCTACTTAATTATAATTAAACGTAATTATATAGCAATGTAGACAGATTTCTACTTCGCCGCACGTCTACGATTAAGGATCATCCTTGCATGATGGAAGAGCAGAAACGGCGATCCTTCAGCGAAATCTTCCAATATTTCTTCATCTCGTATTATCTCGAGCGCAGCAGCTCATCGCGTGAGAGTGCAGTGATAAAACAAGTTATCGCTATAACAGCGAGATACGCGATGCGCGCTCCTCCATAGGAAAATGTACATGAATTTTTTCGTACGTGTGCTTTAAAGCGGGAGATTGATAAAGGGTAATCGCCGGCGGCGGTATCAACACCTGGCACTTAATCGCAA